GCCCTCAATCTGTGCATGTGCATCCTTGAGGCAGCACTGCACCCTTCATCCCTCTTCCCTCTCATCTTCCTTCCCCTTTCAGCGCCTCCCATCACTTTCAGCCCTTAAAGAAGCTCCTCTGGGTTTTCTCTTGAGGACCTGGAGGGCATTTCCTGGCACAGCCCAAATTCCCTTGGGGCTCCCTGTTGACACAGAGCCCCAACAAGTGCCTCACCCCACTACCCAGACCTTGGGTCAGAGTTTCTCCTTATCCCATCTCCCTCAGGGATACCGACCCTTCTCCTCCTTGCTGAGGGTTTTCTCACCTTCCCAAAGCCATTCAAAATTCAGGTTCTTGGGATTTCCCCTGAGGATCAGAAAACTCTGTGCTGATCCCAGCTGTACCATGGGGTGCCCCCTAATCCCAGTCCAGTCTTTGCAACTTCTTCACCTGGAAAAGCAGTGATGCACAGGGCAATATTTCTCTTTTTAAAATGCCTCAGGAGCTGTCGAGGCCTCAGCTCTGTGTCCCAGGTGGTGCCACTGGTGTCTCAGAGAAATAAAGAGTGAAATGCAGCCCAGGATGGTTTTGTGAGGAAGCCATTTTGCACCCATTATCCACAAATGCAAGGCCTTGGTAAATCCTCCCAACAGCCACAGGTGGAAGGGTTCAGTGGTGACAAACACACAAGAGCATTGCTTACCTAACCCAGCACTCTGAATTCATTTTGGCCGATTTTCTGCTTCTGCAGAAAATGCAATTAAATCTAGAGTTGAAAGCTAATAGAAAACCTGTTCTTGGAGGTGTTTCTTCAGAGACTTCAGGAGTTTCAGGCTGGAACATTCCCTAAGGCCAGATCTATGCTGTTCCCTGCAAATATAATTTTTTTTTATGACCTCAATAATTCTAAATTATTTCAGTAGCCATATCTATTAATGTTAAGTCTATTTTCCAAAACTGTACCATAATCTTGGCCTCAGGTGCATCTTGCAGCTGAGGGTTCTGTAGGTTGCATGGCAGATTGCTGGAATTAGAAGTTTGGTTTCCATGTAAAATATTGGAATTCAGCGAGCCAAGTTTAAATTGTATTTTTTGGACTTTAAAAAGGAAGCTTCACAAGACCATATCATTTGTTTGACTGTTGAGGTTGGAGCAGATGACCCTACTGGTGTTCCCTTCCTTTGTTTCCAATCCCAATGAATCAACAGCACACAAAGAGATAAAACAGCCAAATGCTATGTAAAACCTATAAAAAAAGCCTGAAAAATGTCACTAAGTAAATTCAAATAATGCATAACTTAGAGGGAATTGCAACCGGTTCATGGATATTCTATGAGCAGAAGATAAACATCTAACTTAGTTGCATAAATTATTCATCATAACATATTTGCTCAGCTTTTCTTGTCAGCTGGGGAAGCAACACATCCAAGCACAGGGAGAGCAGAGCAGAGCTGGGCTTTCACCTGCTGATGTGCCCGAGAGCAGGGAGCCCTGGGGAGGGATGGAATCAATAACAGTTGGGTGGAAAAGTCTCCTTCACTGTTGTTGGGATCTCTGCTGGTCAGAGTGACCCCGAGAAAAATTGGAAAGTCTCTTTTCCCAGCCCAGTGCTTGAAGAAGGAGTCAGGGTTCTTAATTTCTCATTCTCAAGGTTGTTCATTGTTTCTTACCTATAAAAAATTTTCTCCTGCCCCACTGAGATCCATCCAGCAGGACAGTTCCAGGCACTCTGCCTGCCCCCAGGGCGGTGTTATGTCTTTATACTAAAAACTACCTGTACAATATTTACAATTACTTTCCAATACCCATCACCTATGTTAGACAGTGAGCTTCTACTCTAAACCAATCTAAAAGTGCCAACATCACAGCAGAAGATGGAGGCCAAGAAGAAGAAGGAGAAAGGCTGGACACACCCAGTTCCCTCCATCTTGCCCCCTAAATCCCCATTCTAAAAACCCTAAAATCTATTTTGCCACCCGTGATAACTTCACTAATATTCTACTTAACTGTTGTGGCTTGCAGATCTTCATCTAAGGTTGGTAACTTGCTCCATGGGTCATAATCAAACCCACAGGTGTTTTGGGCTCTGTGCCAGGGTCTCTGAGCCCCCTGGCAGGGGTCTGGGCTGCTCAGGACAGCCAGAGGGATGTTCTGGGTCCTGACAACTGTCATGCTTTAGATGTAGATTCTGCTCAGGGTTCTTCTATTGCATTAATGGGGACTGGGATTGTCCCATGGCAGCAGGAAAGGCTGGAGATGTGACAGTGATTCCTTTTAAACTCCTGCTTTTGCCTCCTGCCTGTGCTGCCAAAGGGTGATGTTGGACCTGATGTAGAGAATGAACCCACTTTCCCTTTGGACACATTGTTTATCCAAATGTTATTCTCCTTTCCTGCTTTCATTGCCCATCACTTCCCAGTTTGCCCTGAATGGAGACACTCTGGATCTGATATATCATGGAATCCTGGAGTGGTTTGAGTCACAAGGGACCTTAAAGCTCATCCCGTCCCACCCCTGCCATGACAGGGACACCTCCCACTGTCCCAGGCTGCTCCAAGCCCTGTCTATGGGCACTTCCAGGGATCCAGGGGCAGCCACAGCTTCCCTGAAGGAGAGCAGGGATCAATGCCTGACCAGCTGCACATTTCAGCTCTTTGCTGCTAAATTATCTATTGCAAAGCAGCAAAACCAACCTCTCTGTACTTTATAGGAACATTCCCTCAGCCCTGTCTGAAAATGTGCTGGCTCTGGGGTGCTCTGGTCCCTCCTGACTTTATGGATACTGCAGGAAGCAGGAATCTGAATGTGTGCTTGAGTTTTACAATAATTGTCTCTTTGGAGAGGAAGCACAGCTGGCATTCTTCCTATGCTCGCTAGTTGTGATCTTTCTGATGGAACATGGGTGTGTCTCTTTATTTATTATAAGACTTACCTGCCTTTGAGCATCCGGCTCTGCCTCTTCCCATGCAGCACAGCTGCTGAAGGGACCATTCCTTCCTCAAAGGGGATTTCCTTGTGGAGCAAGATCTGGGATTGGAGCTCTGGTCTGGGATGATTGGAGAAACCTCTCTGTGGTGTCAGAGAACAACTGTTTGTCTTTACTTTTTAAGTTTTTATCTATCATTAAAATCAACTTTTACAGAATTCCGGGACAGCAGCGAACACCCTCTTCTCCATAAAAGGCATACATTGGTGATGTATTTATTATCTGCAGACAGCTTGGGAGCAAATGATCTGTTTCAATCACTCCTTGTGTTAAGAACACATTGTATGAAGGGGTTTTGCCTTTTGACTGAGGTTTTTCTAGGAAGGATGGATGTTTCCTCAGATTGCAAGGTTTGACACTAATGACTCTTGTAATGTAGTAGGAGGCGTGTTTTGTTTTGGCATTTTCACTTGGCTTGTGAAAGCAAGGAGCTACAGAGGGGGCATTAGCTCAGGTGTAAGGAGATATTTTGAAGTAAATAGCTGGCACTTTGCTGTTTTGATGAATGTAACTGCTGTCAGGCAGCGTGGAGTGCTGTGAAGGGGCACAATCAAAATAAATACCTGCATAATTACATTAAGTCAAATAACCTAACACATGCAGAGTGGACTGAGTCTAGAATCAACCTGGGCAGGAAAAAATCTGGTTTGTGCTCCTGGCTTTGCACTGAGTCTCTGAATGTGCCTGTGTGTCAGGGTCTGCCAGCCAGGTGGGGTTGGTGTGCTGGGAGGACACTCCCTGATGGGAAATGCTGCCTCAGGGCCAGGGCCACACCGTGTGAGGAATTTTGTCTTCCCCAGTCACTCTGATGGAGCCCTGGAGATGGCTGAACTCCAGGCTGGGATGGGAAATGGGGAATGAACTCCTTGTTTGGCTTTGCTTGCCTGTGCAGCTTTTGCTTTATCTGCTGAACTGTTTATCTCAACTCATGAGCTCTCTCACTTTCACCCTTCTGACTCTCTTCTCTAGGAGGAGTGAGTGGCTCTGTGGGGCTGAGCCAGCTGGTTTTAAACCACAACACCTATAATCTAAATAAAATATTTGTCTTAAATGCAAGTAACAGGAATAGATGGATGAAAAGTGACAGAGAAGCCTGTGAGCTGATGTTCTGGGAGATAGCTGAAGATAGAGCAGGTGCATTGTAGGAGAATGGGTATAAATAACATCCTCTCCTTTAAGGAAGGCTTTGCTCAATATTTTTTGAAAGACATTAATAGGTTTCTCATTTTTCAGGTGCTCAGCTGGTGATGTTTCAGAGGCCTGATTTTTAGATTGCAGGTGTGCAAGCTTTTCTCTAGGCATTTCCGTCTGTGTCGTTTCAAAATGGATACCTGCAATAAAGAACTGCTTTTGCAAACATTAACTTTATTTTTTTCCCAGTTGCTCTCAGTTTAAAAGCATGGATTTGAGAATCACTTTGAGTTTTGTTTTTTTTTCTAAAACATGAACAAAACCTCCACTTTCATCCTGGACTCTGCTTATATCTGAATCCATCCTTTTACATTGTTTATCTCGAAAATTGTTTTCCAAAATGCTCTTTTGCCACACTCACGGTGCTGAAAGATGAAGATGTTTGGAGAAAATGTATTTTCTTCAGCTTTGCTTTGCTAAAGTGTGCCGGGAAGGCTTGTGGGCATTAGAGATATAACAATGATCAGCTTGGGCTAGATCTGTGGTCGAGACCATTTGCTGAGAGAGACCAGAATTTGCTGCTTTATGGAGAAGTGAAGGTGTGGGAGGGCGAAAAGACCAGCCTGCTTTTATTTTAGGGCAGTCCAGCTCTCTGACAGACACCTCTGATGACTCCAAGGGCAGCTCCTCACCAGCCTGACCCTTGTAGTGTGTGGTTATTGTGCAGTAATGTCTCACTTTTCCTCTTCTCCTCCCTTTTCCTCTATCCAGCCTCATGACCTCATGTGTGTATCCACATGGGGATGTCCAACAGGACTGGCCCCTTCTCCACCCCAGCGACTCCCCCTGCCCCTCCAGACTGGGAGCCTGACCCCTGTTGTGTTTTCCTGTGTTGTGGCGCAGGGAGTTTGCCCGTTGGAAGGTGAGGAACACAGCCATCGAGAGGAGGGACCTGCTCCACAACCCGCTGCCCCTGATGCCCGAGTTCCAGAGGAGCATCCGCCTGCTGGGCAGGAGACCCACCACGCAGCAGTTCATTGACACCATCATCAAAAAGTACGGCACCCACCTGCTCATCTCTGCCACCCTGGGAGGTAGGTGGCACCTGGGGCTGGTTCTGGGGGGTGGCATTGGGAAAATTACCAATATAACCAGGTGGGATGTGCCTGAGCTTGTCTGGCCCTTGCTGCTGAACCAAATAGTGGTGTTTCACCCCAGAGACACTTTTGGCCAGCTGGGTGTGTGGTGTTTCACCCCAGAAACACTTTTGGCCAGCTGGGTGTGTGGTGTTTCACCCCAGAAACACTTTTGGCCAGCTGGGTGTGTGGTGTTTCATTCAGAGACACTTTTGGCTGGCTAAAGGGAGGGTGCCTAGAGCATGGATCAGGCTTATCTTGGTGGTGCCAGCCACAAGGACAAGAGGAACAGGCAGAAAGTGATGCCCTGGAAGTTCCAGCTGAACGTGAGGAAGAATTTCTTGGGAATATTGGAACGAATTGCCCAGGGAGGGTGAGGAGTCTCGTCACAGAAGATATTCCAGAACCAGCTGGATGCAGTCCTGTGCCATGTGCTCTGGGATGACCCATAGAGCAGGGAGGCTGAACCAAATACCGCACTGTGGTCCTTTCCAGTCTGAACCGCTCTGTGACTCTGAAAGCAGTGGGGGTACAGGCCAGGCTGCAGCTCCCCCTCCTGTCACAGACATCTTTTATGAAAAATCCTTTCCTTAGGATTTTTCCTCCTGAGAAGCTGAGAGACCTCAGGAACAAAATGTAAACATTGATTATCTGCTGCTGTGGAATGCAACAGGCGCATCTGTGATTGGTCTCATGTAGTTGCTTGTAATTAATGGCCAATCACAGTGAGTTGGCTCGGACTCTCTGTCTGAGACAGAAGCTTTTGTTATCATTATTTTTCTATTCTATTCTTAGCCAGCCTTCTGATGAAACCTTTTCTTCTATTATTTTAGTATAGTTTTAATATATCTCATAAAATAATAAATCAAGCCTTCTGAAACATGGAGTCAGATCCTCTTGTCTTCCCTCATCCTCAGACCCCTGTGAACACCACCACACCCTCCCAAAAAGCCTTCGCAAATGAATTCAGAGTGTGAGGTGGGAGCTGTGCCCCTGTGCTGCTCTGACCGTGTGTGTGTCAGGAGAAACACGTCCCTGTCCTGCCAGCCCTGCACCACTGCCCTCAGCTTCACAACAGAACCTGCCCACCCCTCTTTCTCACAGGATGAAAACAAACGCAGGGTGGGAAAAACATCCTTTCTTGGTGGAACTGTAGGAATTTTAAAGAGCTCCAGGAAAAGGGAGTTCAAGGAGTTGGGCAGGGAGCGTGAGCAGAGGGGAAGAGATGGCCGGAAGGCTGAATACATTAACATGGAGCAGACTTCTGGAAAAACAGCAGTTCAGTGAAATTCAAAATGTGTATGCAAGGGCTGCAGAGAGGTCTGTGTGTGCACAGAATGTGTCAGGGGTGACATCAGAGAGAGCCCTGCAGGGCCATGAACTCCTGAGCAGGCGCTGCTGGTGGTGCTGCAGGAACATTTGGAGGGGTGAAAACCAGCAGCTCCCATTGATGTTTACTCCTGGCTCTTTTTTCCACTCTGTATTATTTTCATGGCTCTTTTCCCCCTTTGGGGTGTGCCTTTCTTTCATTTAAATGCTTTTCTTCCAAGAACGACTATCTGTGAGAAGGATTCTGCAGTGGTAAAAGCTCAATTTTACTTCAAAATTTCTTTTGTTGCTTCTTCTAACGTACCTCACCTCCAGCCTTGCCACATTGCTGTGTTTGTAGTGAACTTTGAGGAATTTCTGGCCATCTGTCTGTTCCCAGAGCATTGTGCAGACACTGGGATGAGATTAGATGTGTGCATGTGGTTCATGCACAAATTAGGCAGGTAGGTAAATTGGCACAGTTCCCCTGAAGTCCAGTGGCCTCTGGTGTGGTGATGTCCTTCAAAGATCCTTGGGCTGCTCTTCCAGTCCAGGCACCCAAACAAGTCCATTCCATTAGCAAGAAATGTGAAATAAAGGAGGTTTCCAAGCATTGAAGAGCAAAAGTGACCGCTTTCTTCAGCCCTTAATGAAGTCTGGGTGACGATAAACTGCTTTTTATTGAGGAATTCACATTTCAAGACCGTGTTTTACAGAGCCCAACACAGCCAAGTAGAGATTTTTATTTTTTTCTGCTGGTTTACTTTTTTTCCCATTGACATTCTTCTTTTCCTTGACACTCACATCCCTGAAAGCTCAAAATAAGAAAGGCCTTTGATGGTAAAATATATTTTTAATTTTGCCTGGCTGAGGTTGTAAATTATTCACGGGGGCTTGTTTCTCCCCCTGATTTTACAACACAACAACTTTAAATATGCAGAGACTTGTAATGAGAACTGGTGTTGGAACTAAACACCCCACAAACCCTGAGCATGGTGAGCAATGGTGGGGAGAAAAAAAAAGATTTATCTTGGAAATGGCAGTCCCAGGGGAAAGTGTGGATGAAGCTGGGCATGCATCATGCATGGAGGACATGTTCTAATTGTATTCTGGGGGCTAAACAAGAGCTCCGGGACGTAAAAAAAACCAAAAAATCATGCCTTATATTAACAGCCAAGGCACAAAAGTCAGGACTTTCTCATTCCAGCCTGGCTCATTTTCAGTAGAGGAATGCTGAGGCTGGAATCCTTGGCCAGAGGGCAGGCAGGAAGCCTGGGTGGAATCACATCAGCGCTGCTGTCAGATCACCAGCAGATCTCCTCTTGGATTTGGTCCCTACACAACACTAACCAGGCACTAAGAAACTCAGCAAAGAAGAAAAATCTGTGCTCTGGGGCAGTGGGGATCAGTGATTTCCCTACAAAAATTGTCATTTTTTTTCCCTCCAAAGGAAGAAAACAGAGAAGTCCATGAGTGATGATGCTTTTTCCTGAAGGAGCAGTGACCTGGCTCTCCCAGGAGCTGGTGTCTCTCCAGCAGAGCTCCAGGCAGTTCTGCCCTGGGTTGTGGCTCTTTGTGGCTCAGCCTGGTGTCTGAGGAGGTGGCAGAGAGTGACACACAGGAATATTGGCTGGCTTTGAAATGCCAGCTGCTGCTTGGTCCCCACGAGGGTGGGACATGGAACAGCACCTGAACGCTGCAATTTTCACACCTGGCCACAGCAGCAACAGCTCTGGGGCCTTTCAAACCTGCAGAGCAGCCAGAAAAAAACCCCAGCTCTGCTCCAGTCTGCTTCTGACACAAAGGCACTGGTGAAGGGTCGCTTTGAGGGCATCCACGCTCTGGGATGGAGCGCGCAGAGCTGAGAGCCAATTTTCAGGAAAATCCCTCAAGGAAAAACAACTTTGAACATATCATTCACTTAATTAAAGGAGAAATTAAGACTTAATAATGCAGGAAAATTCTGTTAACCTCTCTTGATCCAAGAGCTGCTTTCCCGTGTGACCCCTCCATGGGGATGCTGTGCTTTTCCAGCTCTGCACAGAGCTACACAAAGCAGGTTTCCAGCAGCAGTGTCCCTGCTCAGCACCCCTCAATCCTAGGGACAGCACTGCTCCTTCAGGAAAAAACATCATCACTCATGGACTTCTCTGTTTTCTTGCTTTGGAGGAAAAAAATTGACAATTTTTGTGGGGAAATCACTGATCTCCGCTGCTCCAGAGAACAGATTTCTCCTTCTCCTTCTCCTTCTCCTTCTCCTTCTCCTTCTCCTTCTCCTTCTCCTTCTCCTTCTCCTTCTCCTCTCTTCTGATTTTTATGCCCTGGCTGTTAATATAAGGCATGATTTTTTTCCAGAAAAAGTTGGTTTTTTCTCAGTTATTGGTGCAATTGATGAAGATTTGATGGCTGCGTACCACAGCTAAGGGGAGAATGATCCCAGATCTTCCTTCTCCTGCCACAGCCTCACAAAATGGTGGCAAAACATAACTTCTCATTTTTCTCTGCTGCATCTCCTTGCAGTTAAATGCTTCGGTTACATGAGAGATCCAGAACTTCTGGCTCAAAATACACTTTCCCACTGATCCAGCCTCTTCAGTGGCAAATGAGTTGATTCATGAAAACTGAAAGATTTTATTAAAAGTTCCTTCAAATCTCCCTGAAAAACAAAGAGATGAAACTCAAAAATGCATTGAGTGGTCAGTGCAGTGACCACTGCTCCTCACAATAATCACATACATTTATTTATCCCCTGTGCCTTTGGCTCTTTGCTGTATTCACCTGTTGTGCCTCATCAGATACAAGGGGTTCAATCCTCTGGAAGATGGATTGGCTTTGTTTGTGTGGACAGAGCCTGATGTGGCAGAGCCTTGATCCCTGCCAAGGTCTCCTCACAAGCTCAGCACATGAAAATGGTAATGGTGATAAAGGAAATCAAAGCTGGTCATTTTCCAGGGAAAGTGCTTTTGTGACAGGCAACAATGATGACATTGTTACCACCACAGCTTTGATAGTGGTGGAAGGCTAATCTGTTATTTTTAACAAAATATTAAAGACAAAGTTTTACATGCCTAACTTCTACACTTAGGTCCTGCAAACCTAATTAAAAGATTTCAACTGATCAATTCTTTTGATGAAAAGTACCTTCTTTCCACAAAAAAAGAAAAAAAAAGTGAATTTTTCATCTCAAAGCCAAAGGCTGAATACTCAACATAACTATTGCTTGAAAAACTGAAATCTAATAAAAATATTTTGATTTTCCGCCAGAATATTTTTGGTTTGTTTTCAGGCATTTGGCTTTCAGATAAAAGCTGGAAAATTTCCAGGGAAAGTGAGGGGGAGAGCTTACTGGGATTTTGGGTTATTTTTTTCATATATGCAATAAAAGAAATAATTTGGATGAATCAAATTGTTTTAGCTAATAAGAATTTTAAAGAAAAGTAAGTCCTTGTTCTCGTAAAAAAAATTATGCAAAGATGATGAAAAGTGAAACATTTTTTGGCCTTGAAAGCAATGGTACATATTTTTTGGACCATGCTATCACTGCCAGAGGCAGTGTATTCATCAGTGGTTCATCTATCAAACCAGAACAAGCACCATTCTTCTCATTAAGAGAGTTATGTAGAAATGGCACATTCCTCCTCTAGCTGTGTCTTCTCTTCATTTATTAAATCCCAGTTTCACATGTTAAGGATGCAGGATGGCATTCCACCTTTTAAGACCTCTCACAATGCCAGCCTTTTGTTAAGAATGGACTGGATTTTAATGTGTCTCACCCAGTACAAATTGAGTTATTAGGTAAATAGTCCTTCTCAGCAGCAGAGACCTGTTTTGTTACATTAAGGTCTCTGCTGATGTTTTGTCGGTTCTTAACTACTTCTCTCCCAGATTCTCTGAGCTTACCATTTCAAAATCACCTGCTTTTGTCCCTTATCTTGTATGGTATTTTCACTCTCTACTTATATTACCTGGATGAGACTCTGGGGGAGGAAAGAAGGCAGCAAGGGGGGTTAGTTCAAATTTTCTCATTTGCTTTTTCCTCTGATTGATTCTCTTTACTCATCCTCTTTCCTCTACCCTTTTGCAATGCTACTGGGAGCTGAAGAGGTCCAAGGAACATTTGTTTGTCCACTGTACCTACCTGCACACTGTGTTCTACGTGCAGTCATCATCCATCCCTTCTAGAAGTCAGGTCAGACAGGGACTTGCACAAAGTGAGATCTTCTCCTGTCAGGTGTGCATCATTCTAGAGGCATTGCCTACAGAGAAAACCTGCCTCAGGTGGGACAGATGGGCTGAATCCTTTGTGGCAAAGATCTGCTGGCTAAAAAGTGTCCAAAATGTTGTCTACTCAATTCAGTGGGGCCGCTTTACTTGCCTGGTGGACTCAGCCTTGCTGTCTGAATAGAAGAGGAGGTCTCTCTATGTCCTCCTATGATGCTGGTGTAGAAGGGTGGATTCCTCCAAGAGTGCTCTAGGTGTGGGACTTTTCTTTCTTTAGGTGCAGTAGATGACACCATTTTCTCCCTGCTTGCAGCCTGAAATCTCCTTTTATCCCTGCTGCAGGAGAGGAGGCCTTGACCATGTACATGGACAAAAGCCGCCTCGACAGAAAGTCAGGAAACGCCACCCAGAGCGTTGAAGCCTTGCACCAGCTCGCCTCCTCCTACTTTGTAGATCGTGATGGCACCATGAGGAGACTCCATGAGATCCAGATCTCTACCGGAGCAATCAAGGTACCACATCCTGCCTTAGGAAGAGGGAAAAGATTGGCTGCCTTGTACGGATTCTCTAGGGATTTGGGGCAGGGCTTTGCCAGACTGATGTCTTCTTTGAGCAGAAGTTGTTTTGTTCCCAGGGTTAGGTTTGCTCTTATTCAGTTGAAGAATTGATTTCCCCAGGGTCACTAATATCTGGAAAGAGGCATTCAGTGTGCTGGTTGTGTAGGACAGGAGTCTTTCACTAAGTGTGACAGTGACTTCTGGAAAGGAGACAGGGAGCAGAGGACCCAGATCAGTGATGGATGTTGGAAGGGAAAGGCAGGTCTGGGAAATGAACAGCCCTGTGCCACCTAGGAGTGTTTGTCTCCTGGGGCTGTAAGGCTGCAAAAGATCTCTCAGCTGAATTTGCTACAAGAAATGGTGAAAAACTCAGTGTGGCATTACTGAGGCTTCTGGAATGAAACGGACTGAGAGACAGCTTGGGGGCTGCAGCAGGAAGGAAGGGAAGCTGCTCAGAGAATACAAAACAGGGAAAATGGCTCTGCAAAGGCTGTCTTCTCTGAAAGCAATCATCCTACACTGGGCAGGGATTTTATTGTTGCTGAGTTCACTCCAGGGAAGGTGATGTGGATGGAGTCGTCATTGTTAGCCATTTCTGAAAGGTTTCAGCTCTCATTATTGTTCTGTGCTGTCTCATGGCTGAGGCTGTTCCCTTCTGGATGGGAAATTGTATTGAGATATTGAAACAGTGACAGCAGATAATCACCCGTGGTGAATTCCAGGAGGGCAGGAAACCAACAGCAGCAGCACTGCAGGTCATCTGTGCCTCCATCCATCCTCAGCACAGGGCTGCTGTTCACATCTGTTGTGGGAGCACCAGGCACCACTGTGGGCTGGCAATCCATCTCTGTTTCTTGCTTTCCAATAAGAGAAGCCAGGGAATAATTCCTCTACAGGCTTCTGATGTTCTCCAATGGAGATCCTCTGTGAGAAACATCAATCTGCAGGATCCCATTGCCAAGCCCAGAATAACCTGAGGTACCCTAAAGAAAGCAGCCACAATTCCTTCTGATTTTTCAGCTTGAGACTGCACCAAACATCAGCAGTGTCTTGCAGGGTGGGGCATTTTTTCCCAGCTAGGGAGGATGTGTTTTAGGTTATATCAGCTTGTGACAAGGAGTCCTTGAATTAAAAGATTTAAAGAGCCTGGGGAAGGTGTGGTGCTGCAGTCAAAGGGAACATTCTCTCATTTCTACATCCTCTGTAGGTAACAGAAACTCGGACTGGCCCCCTGGGCTGCAACAGCTACGACAATCTGGACTCTGTGAGTTCTGTCCTTCTGCAAAGCACTGAGAGCAAACTCCACCTGCAAGGTAGGGCCCAGGGACCAGGGAGGGGTGTGGAAATGGGACGGGAGTGCCCTTTGTCTGAGCCTTTCCCCCTCTTCTCTTTGCTGTGATTCTGCTGTGTCTGGAAGCTCCCTGCACACAAGGCTCTACTGAGCAGAGCTAGGGCTGACCCCAATGAAGTGTCTCCCTCTGCCACTGAATTTTGATGGACTTCTGTGCATGATACACACACCAACATTAAAAAAAAAAGTGACCTCTTCCATCAGTATTGAAGGAGAATTCTGCCCACGTCTCTCCGTCCCTCCCAAACTGCTGATTTGTGTAAGAGGTTTGCAGATCAGCTTTCGGGGCTCTCTAATGACCGTAATCTTTGGGAAAAGTCACAGAGGTTTTATTTGGATGCTAGAAGCCATGGCTTCAGTCCCAGATGGGGAGCTAGTCCAAAAGTCAACAGATAGAGGTCATGGCTGAATTAATAAATAAATACATGCTGGTTAGCAAGAAGTCAACTTCAGTAGAAGGAGGAAATTCACTGGGCATGTAATTCATGAAGGTTATTCCCAAGTTTTTGACAAAATAAGGAAATGTGGGATTTAATTGCTAATTTGCCCAGATGGTTTTATTTCTCAAATCCTTGTACTTGCACAAATTTTAATTTTTCAGATGAATGGGCTACATTACATCTTCCGCTTTGAGTATAATTTGGCAAGTGCTGTTTTAATCTTTGGTTTCACAGAAACTGGGTTTCATTTACCAAGTAATGTTGTGGATATAATATTATTGTTGTTATTATTTGCCTTTAAAAATAATATGCAGGTTGTTTTCACTATGGCAGTGATTATCCAAATCACTGAGTTCTGGTTCTTACCTAATTAACAATAAGCAGTTTGAGGGGGTTTTACACTGTGATGATAGCTGCTGGTAATGAAAACCCAAGGATGACACATGAGATAAGTGGGGAAGCAGCTAAATCAGCAGACAGCTCGGGTTATAGGCAGACAAGTGAGTAAATCAATAGAGTGCTATTGGTTATCTGATCCTACAAGAGAGGAGATAAACCAAGGGAGGGGGAAGGAGGTGGAGGAAAAAGGAAAAAATTGAGAGAGAGGGGATGAGGCTGTGATCTCTGATGAGAATAGACAGAAAACCTTGGGGGCCAACCATTCGTGGGTTTCATGGAGCTCCATGGCTGAACCCAGTGCAGGGAGAGGATGCAGCCAAGGCAAAGAGGCAGCGAGGGAAGGGAGGAAGGCAGGAGCTCTTCCTAATAGAACAAAGTGACCTTTAAAGCTCCACCTGAGTTTTCTACCTAATCTGGAGTGTGGTTCTTGGGATAATTACCCGGGATCCTTCCTCTGCTCTGAGAGGCCTCATTACAAATTAGTCACAGGGCTGCAGCAGGTAATGGATCGTGACCAAGCCTCCTCTGATCTGATTAGCAGCCGAGCATGAGCTGCTGACAGAAATCCATGTTCCTGCCTTTGTGTCACTCCAGCTCTGAGCCTGGCTCAATAAAAGAGCAACTTCTTCGTGACAGGGAGAATTTCTCTGTCTGAAATTGCTGCTGCCCAGCCCTGGGACTTGAGGTTTCAAAGCTGTGCCTTTCAGGAGATACAGTGGGTGGGATGTGGCACTGAGTGCCCTGGTCTGGTTGGCAAGGTGGTGATCAACCAAAGGCTGGACTTGATGATCTTGGTGGTGTTTTCCAACCTAAATGATTCCATGAACCCACATAGGGTTTGGGCAGGCTGATTTTGGGGGAAGATAGTGCAGGGTGTCTGGTGCTGCACTTGGGGTTACTTGGACAAAAAATAATCACTAATTTATAAGCTAGTTATATATATAATTTATCATTTATATATAATTTATAACTACATACTAGTTATAAACCAGTATCCATGTGAGCCCAGCATGCATGACATGCTCTGAGGTATGTATATATATATATGCATATATACACACACACACATATATATATATATATATATGCACAAAATTTATCACAGAAGGTCTCCTTTTTTCCCAGCCCTCCCTGGAGCAGGATCTCTGTGGTGATGCAGGGCAGGGTACCAGCAGCTCTACAGCAACCTGCTGGGAAAGGGGGATTTGTGTTTCCTGGACAAGTGTCCTGTGCAGAAATTGGGAAATTTGACTGAAAAAAGCAACATTTTGAAGAATTTCAGGAACTCCAAATTTCAGAGGCATGGCTTGTTGTATCAATGCTGTTACTGACATTTTATGTCAATATTGGAGCATAGCACTAATTCAATGAGGTACAATCTTTCTATGCTGTTCCAAACTGTGCAAAAATAAACAGCAAATGTTGCATATCAGGTCATTTTCTACATCAAATGTGGTCATATATTATATACTATACATAATGCATGTTGTATACAATACTTAAATATATTAAATTTCAATATTTAATATTATATTGTCATATATGTGTAAATACCCTTATATATTATACATCTATAACTACATAAAGAGATGTATTATATACCTGCATAGCATATATGATAGCATAACATTAGAATTTACATTACAATTACTATTAAAGCTTTTTCCAAGATGGAAAGAACAGTAATGGCAACACAAAACATTTCGGCTTTTCACTGCAGTGAAATGAGCGAGTATGAAAAAATACATTTAGAAAGTCAAAAGTGCTTTTGGAGTCAACATGCTCTCGCAAAATGCTTCAATGGAACTGCATTTTCAACAGAGAACTCTTCTGTGGAAAATGTTTCAAATAGCTCTAATTTAGAGCTGGGAAAATTTACCTCTTTTAATGCAGGAAGCCTTTTATATACAGTCTAAAGCCAAACATCTATCTCTAATAGTTTTTCTGGGTGAATTAAGGACATGTTCCCTTGTCAGATACTTCATATTCTGCCTGTAGTTATCTAAGACAAACCTATACCAAATCTGGGCTGCTCTTCATTTTTAAAGAGGAGCTTCATGCTTTACAAAGTGGCAAAATTCCCCCTCTAATCAATCAATTACCTTCAAAACTAACATATCCAAGTCAGCAGCAAACTTCCATTATACATCTATTATCAGCTCCTGAGGCTGCTGTTGGGGATGAGCCCCTTCCTTGTGCCCCCTGGCTTGGATTGAGGGATTGTCCCCATGGAAATGATCCAAAATCCCAGATTTTAAGACCAGTTTGCCCCTCTTCTTGGCTGTTGACATGATGTTGTTTTATCAGTAGACAGTGGTGAAATATTTAATACACAAATATATATATATATGTGGTTTTTGGATGTTTTTAATGTCGAAATAAATTTCTTAGAGAGAAACACAGCATTTGGGGTATTTTATTAGGGTTGTGACTGCCAGCAGGGCTTTCCCTGCTAGCACAACCTGCTCAGTGGGGCTGTTATATTCCTTGGGATTACAGCTGTTATATTCCTTGGGATTACAACTTTCCTGCTCTACAGGTAGCAACAGAAGCACCCAGAGCAGTGGTCTCAAAAGATTGATGCCACCTGTGCTTTACTGACAACCATAACCCACTGAATTCCAGCAATATTTAGTCCCTGGGTATGGGATAGAGCAACAAATGAAAGAAAGGATGCCAGAATCACCTGGATGAGGTGTTGCTGCTGGCAGAGCTTGTAAAATCTCTTGCTGATATCCAATTACAGAGATGCTCAGAACTGAAGCAAAAAAAATCATATTAATAAATTGATATGAAAAAAAAATGAAATGCTCTTGTCTGGGGATGATGAGGAATCTGTGAATATTTACATGTATATATATAAAATACTCCTGTGGAAATAGGCACAGCTGTATTTCAGCTGTGAAATTTCTGGATTCTTCTGGGAGAAACTAGAAACATTGGTTTCTTCCACAAGGCAATTCCTGGCTGGAAGATGTGAGTCACCTGTAATCCCAGCAACCTGTTTAAAGTCAGGGGCTGTGTTTGGAGTGGCTGGATTTGGGTGGCACTTGTGCAAACACAGCTTTGAGTGTGGGCTTCTTGTCAAATGCTTCAGGCAACTGGTTGTTCCAGCCAGACTGTTTTTCTGATGAAGTATTTATAAAAGAGTTTTGAGTTGGTGCTAAGTGTACAGAAGTCTGATTGCCCCTTAAACATGATATTATTTCTTATAAGAGGATATTTTCCTGGAAATGTCTTTTTTTTTCAGAAACCATGAGTTTTACGGGCAAAAAGCAAGTATCCATGTGAAGCGCTGCAGTGTTAAAACATGATGTGTTTTGGAGATTACAGGATATTCAGACTTCCGCATCTGCTGGAATGCCCCTTGCAATGGGAGGCACTTTCCTTGAAACTTCAGTTGCTTTTTTCACCCTTATTCCCTCCAGAAAAAAATAAAATTTAAAATCTCTAAAGCCAGGATCATTTGTAGCTGGGACCAAGCAGCTTGTTGTGCTTTATCCAAGTTCAAATTCAAAGAGAAGCTATGGAGAACTGAAGAGCCTGGGGTAATTTGATCATATTCAAAGAGCCAGAGCAGGTTGCTCCTCCACGAAGCAGAGTGGAAAATATGTTCATGGGACTTGGACCATGAATGAAGAGTCAGTGCACATCAAGAAGTCCAGCTCTGCTCTCATGTGAGCTTGAAAGCTCAGTGAGTACAGCTGCCTTCAGGCTCTCTGGTCCCCTTTGTGGATCAGTTCTCCCACAGCACTGCACTCTCACTCCATCCTGAAGGAAAGTTTGGGATCCATCACTAATATCAGTGTGAGGATTTGGCAAGGGACCATCCCTCTGTAGTGGCTGTTTCAGATAAATCATAAAATTCCAGAATGGGATTGGAAGGAACCTTAAAGATCATCCATTCCACCCCCTGCCATGGCAGGGACACCTTCCACTGTCCCAGGCTACTCCAAGCCTCAATGTCCAACCTGGCCTTGGGCATTGCCAGGCATCCAGGAGTAGGCACAGCTTCTCTGGGAACCTGTGCCAGGGCCTCAGAACCCTCACAGGGGAGAATTCCTTCCTAATATCAAATCTAAACCTACTCTCTTTCTGTTTAAGTCACTCTCCCATGTCCTATCATTACAATCCCTGGAAGAGGCTGAGCTTCAGGACTTCCTGAAGACAGCAGAAAGAAATCTGAGCTTCTTGTTGAGACACATCTCAGAAAAGACCTCAAAGGAGTGTCAAAATTATGATCCTCTGCAAGACAGTTTAGAGGTGTTTGCAGAGATGCTATCCTGGTCAGCTCTTTGTGTGTTCCTTCCAGTCCCCAAGAGCAATGCAGAAAAGGCAGCAGGATCTATGCAGAAGGGTCCCTGGGCTGGAAATCCTTCCCTGTGCCAGTGTCACAAACACATTCCCAGCTGGAGGGTGCTCCAAGCCCATCCTGCCTGGAGGCTGCCAGTGGGATCAGGCAGAGGGGCAGCTTGCTGCTCACCCAGAGCAGGGCAGAGGGACCAGGGCTCCCTGTGCCTCCCACAGCCCCCTGAGCCCCCACACCTGCTCCTCCAGAGGGACCTCATTAAGGCTGAGGTGCTTCTCTGGATCCAAATGCAAAAGGGTAATGGGGGTCCCAGGGTCACCACCTGCTGTTTTTCTCTTGTCTGAGGTGAACACAACCCATCAGAGATGGGCCTGCACTCCTGAAAGGGGTCACAACCCTTTTTGCCATTCCTGCACGCTCTCATCCTCTGAATTATTGTCTGATTTTCATTCCACTCCAGTGAGCTGTCAGGCATGGCTCTGGTAATGCAGCGCAGCAGAAGCACAAACAGATGGGTGACTGACCCACGTGCCTTCATTACAGTGCAGCTCAGCTCTGCCACAAATCCCTCACACTGCCACAAACCCCTCACACTTCCACAAAGGCCTCACACTGCCATAAACTCCTCACACTGCCACAAAGCCTTCACACTTCCACTCCATCTCTGCCCTCTTCCAAGGGGGGTTCCCTGTCAGAACCCAGGACATTCCTCTGGCTGCCCTGGGTGATTTGACACCCTGGCAAGGGGCTCAGAGACCTTGGCACGGAGTCAAAACCACCTGTGCCTTATATTTTAGCCCATGGAAACAATTACCAACTTTGTGTGAAGAGTTACAAGCCAAAAGAGTTTGAGTAAAATGATAGTGAATTTGTCACAGGGTGAAAAAGTAGAATTTTGGGGATTTAGGATGGGGGTTCAAGAGTCAAAGATGCAAGAATCTGGGCATGTCCTGTCCTTCTCCTTCTTCTTGTCCTCCATCTTCTGCTGTGATGGTGGCACTTCTGGATTGGTTTAGAGTAGAGACAGACTGTCTAACATAGGTGATAGGTATTGGAAAACTATTGTAAATAAAGTACATGTAGTTCTTAGTATAAAAAGTTAACACCACCCCAAGGGCAGGGACTGTGCCTCAACCCAACCTGCTGGACAGACCTCAGCAGGTCAGAGAAAGAATGTGATAGATAAGAGAAAATAAACAACCTTGAAAAGCAGAACCAAGGAATCTCAACGACTTCTTTGGTTGCAAGGCTGGGAAAAAAGACTTTTTAATACCTTGGGGGTCATCTCAACTACAGAAACCAGAGAGGTCCCTGAAAGGCTTGGAGTTATTGCCCCCTGCCTCGTGCTCCACAGACACTGACAGGGGCTGACAGGCAGCACTGGCCAGGTAGGAGCAAACAGCTGGGAATCCTCAGGGAGATCCACAGGGAGTCTGGAGGAGGCTGGGATGGAAAACCACGTACACTGTGCACAGGGCAAACACTGAAACTGCTATTGCATCCTCTGGTACCTGAGCAAGGAGGCACTTACAGTGCTGCCTGCACAGATGGATGCATACACAAACACTTGCCATGAAGAAAGGGACAAGGGGATAGATCTCCCTGCTAATGTAAGTCTGCCAAGCAACACTGAAATCATCGACACTAAATCCATTTGCACTTTTATAGGATTTGGCAAGTAGCCTTCCTAGCAGGGAGCAAGCTGTGAAGGCTCAGGTACCCAGCTCCTGTATTTATGCTGTGGGAGCTGGGCACTTAACTCTGCAAGGGACTTTTATAAATCCCCTCTCGTGGTATTTTCCTTTCTTCTGTTTTCTGTTCCTTCTTATTTTCCCTTTCAGTGTGTATTTTCCTTTTTTCTGTGGAACCAAACCCATTTAGTATCTCTCAAAACAGGTCAGAGCAGCATTGCTTCTGAGCTAGCACTTAGTTTCAGGACACAAAAAACAGCATATCTGGGAATAAGGAAGGCTTTGCATTCAGGGTCTTGTTCTGGGATCTGGGAATGGGGTGAAAGGGTTTTGGGGAAGGGGAAGTTTCTTGTCACCCTTCTCCTGCAGAGGAGATGGGCTCTGTTCTCAGCTAAATCACTACTTGCCCTAAAGAATGCAATTTGTACTTTCTTTATTCATGGCAGCTTTTAATTCTTCACCATAATTTTCTCAAACTGTTAACGAAACAGGTTTTGAAAAGAGGAAGAAATACCTGAAATTACTTTTTTGTTTACATTTTTCCCCTCCCATAACCCTGTCATTCTTCCTCCAGGCCTCCAGATCATCTTCCCTCAGTATTTACAAGAGAAGTTTGTCCAGTCTGCCTTGAGTTACATCATGTGCAATGGGGAGGGCGAGTACATCTGCAGGGACAGCCAGTGTGGCTGCCAGTGCTCCGAGGAGTTCCCCCAGTGCAACTGCCCCATCACCGACATCCAGATCATGGAGTACACCCTGGCAAACATGGCCAAGACCTGGACAGAAGCCTATAAAGATCTGGAGAATTCAGGTAACTGAGAAAAACTTGCTTTTTCAATTCATGTCAGGTTACAACCTGGTAAAAATCTTTTATTCCCTCAGTATAATGCTCTACTTTGGCCAAAAATTAGAGGATATTGAACCCAAACCCAGGATCTTAGTCTTGAAAGTCTTACCCTTTTTTCCTCTATTAAACACACAGACAGGAACGCACACCACACATGGAATTATGTGTACAGGGATATTTTCAATGGAAGCACATGTTTGGTTAAAAATCTGATTTTTCATACTAAACCATCTCCAAATCTCTCTTTTAATAGTTCTACAGAGAAACTTCCACAATATGAATGACTCCATGTTCTCAGAAGGCTGATTTATTATTTTATGATATTATATTAAAAATAATGTTATGCTAAAACTATACTAAAGAAAGAGAAAGGATACATCAGAAGGCTGAACAAGAATGATAGTGAAAGCTCCTGACTGACTCCTCAGAGTTCAACACAACTGGCTGTGATTGGTTATTAATTAAAAACAATTCACGTTTGGATAAACAATCTCCAGACCACATTCCAGAGCAGCAAAACATGGAGAAGCTGAGGCTTCTCATCTTGCCAGGAGAAGAAATCCTGGCAAAGGGATTTTTCAGAAAATATCATGGTAATAGGATGGATAATACCAGGGCAAACCAGAAATGTGGATTTCAGGACCTTTTGCCAGCTCAGTACCACACAAGTTTTCAAGGATTACCGGCAGCGCCTGCCAGCACAGTCACTGGTTATGTGTTAGCTGTTGTTAGTTCTGGCACAGCATCTTCACAAAAGGTGCTCGAGAGCCACAGGTTGGTCTCACCAAACCCCTTCCCATCCCAGGGGGTCTAACCCAGCCCTGAGAAGGTGGGAGCTCTGTGGAGAAGGGAGTTCCAGTCCCACATTCTGTCCTTGCTGCACTCAATCCAAGCACAGGCCGGGGTAGATAATTATATTCAGGCTCCCTCCCCTTGAGATTTGAATGGGGGAAGGTGTTTTTCATTTGCCATGTTAAAGTGACATATTGCCGTGCAATTTCTGCCATATTCCACCCAGGGCTGGAGGCTTTTCAGGGCTAGATGGAGTGATTATCTTTATGTCTAAAGCTGCTGCATCTGATTCATCACTTTGATGCATCATGCGTGAACTTATTCTCTGAGATAGAAGTTGCTATCACAAAAGACTGCAGTATTAGTGTTTTGATTCTTTGTTTTAATAAATATTCCCAATAACTAGAGGATTTTCTTCATATGAGCAGCAGAGGAGAAATCTCTGATGACATCTGAAGGCTTTTCCAATAAAGTGGACTGAAAGGCACAGGAGTGCTCTGAAAGCAAATACCGTTTTGCACAGGAAGCCACTAAAAGCCCAAAACATTTGTATTCTGCTTCTGGTCTGTGTTGGATCCTCTGTTAATTTAAAAAAATTGTGCAGGGCGAATCAAGAGTTGCTGTGATTTGGAATAGTATCTTCAAAGTCAAGGAGGCTGCAGTGAACTGAAACTGCTTTGAATCAGCTCAGGAGATTTTTTAGCCCTGTGCTTCACTGGTTGTGGGTAAATTGAGAAAAAAAATGCTGCCTTATTCTTGACATCTTAGAATGGCTGGTCAAAAACTTCAGTGATTGTGGATTAAAAAAAATGCCAACTTTTAATTAAGTCATTTAGTGGAGTTAATTTGTTTGTTTATTCAAGGCTATTGGTTTCTGATGTAAATGGGTTTGTTATTTTTTTTAACACTGGCAAAAGGAAAATTTCATCTGTGAAAGAGATGTCTGACCTGTCAACTCCCTGTGGTGCCACTTGTGATGCTGAGTCACTGCCAAGGGACTGCCTTGGGGATGGGGTGACTCAGCAGAAAGAGGGGCCAAGCTGCATCACGGGGGGTGTAGTTCCAGCCACCAGCAAGGTTTGCTGTGCAGAGGAATCAAACAACCACAAATGCAAACAGACTTGTTAATTAATTGGAAATTCTCAGGGTTAAGAATGAACTATTCCCAGAAACAGGGAATCTCCCCATGCATACCGCTGGCTTTCAGGCAGAGTTATAAATTAATATAAATAATGAAGAAACTATGTTGGTTTTAAAGTACTTTTCATTTTCTTCATCACCCTAATTTTAAAACAACCCCATCCAGCTTTTATTTTGCCAGATTTGCTGCTCATTTGTTTTTCCCCCAACGTTGCACTGCGGTAGCAAAATGTGCACACTGCACCGAAATTCCTGCCTCGCCCGTCTCGATGAAAAATGTACCACATTCATCATCACAGGGAAAAGAGCCTGGGCTCCTGCACAAAAAGGCTTTTGAGGAAATTGATTTATAAGGGGCGGGAAGCAAATGCAAGGCTTTTACTGCTGAAAGGTACCCGGAGTAATCAGCATGGTCAACAGAAGCAATTATACCTGGTGGTGGTTCCAGAGGCCCATGAAAAGCACACAGGCAGGGTTGAGGAGGAGAAGGGCACTGGCAGCAGCACTAAAAACACAGTGAAAACCTGAGAGATGACTTAAAAACAATCTCTTGCTTGTCTTTGGGGGGAAAGGAGACCAGCAGATGTCCCAGGGATGTTGGTAGTGCAGCGATGATGATTATTTTTATGAGTAGGATGTGAACATCCACTCACCATCCATGTCAGGATGGGACCGACTGATGTACAAATTTGCTTTGTTGGGCAGCTAAGCATGAGCTGCAAGTAGGAAATTTCCTGCATAGGAAATCTGTTATGCAAATATCTTAGACTTTGTACAATAGGATTTATATTATCTGATTTTTTTTCACTAATTCTATGGATTATTTCTTTTTTAATTGAAAATATGTCAGCCTTTACAAGCTCTCCTTTTCCTTCTGAAAATAGGATGAAGGAATTAAAAAAAAAAGAGTGAGAAAGGATCAGAAATAATGTAGATAATGTAGAGGAAAAGATGGCTATACTTCTTGTTGGCTTGTTTGGGAGGTTTATGGCAGGGTCCTAGTCCAGCCTCCCTCTAGAAGCAGGACCAAAGCCAGCACTAGGTCAGGTCAGCCTTGGTTTTGCCTAGCAGAGTGTAAAATGAGAGATTTTTATACATCTCTGATCATGTTCCAGCACTGCATTACCTCCAAGTGATGAAGTTTTTCAGTAAATCATTTTAATTTCTCAAGCTGCAAACCGTATATTGCTCCTTGTTATAGCAACTGTCTCTCAAAAGAGGAGTTTTGCTCAAATCTGTGAGTACCTTTTGCTGTAATTAAATATCCTTTGGCCTCCTCTTTACCAAATGAGACCAGTGCAGCTCCCCACACCTGACTTTGCAGAGCTCAGAGCACCTCGGTGTCCCTCAGCTCTGCCCTCCCAGTCCCTGTCCATCCCTTTTATGTGGGTGCTCCAGGTGTAGCAGTGCCAAGAAAAGGTGAATATCAACTCCCCCAAGCAGGATTCAGCCCAGTATGAAGTTTTTTTTTTCCAATGAGAACAGGATATTGACCCACCTCAGCCCCCAGGACCTTCCTCCCAAGCCTGTGCTGACACCTGGGGTTTTTCCTCTCCTGGTACAAAACATTGCTGTTGTCGTTATCGCATTTGATGGAGTTCTTATTGTCCCACTCATTGCATTTCTCAAGGTCTCACTGTGTCAAATATGGTTTTCTAGCATCAAAAATTGAGTTATTTTCCCCTGAGAAAGTTGGAACCATCTGGTTTTTCCTCATCTGAGGATGTCCCAGCCTGGTAATCATAGTCTGAGCAAACCACCCTTCTCAGGTAGGAAGGAGGGGCTGATCAGAAACACAAACAGTATCAGAATTTCTGATTGTGATGAAAAAAAAAACCCTCAAACAAACCCTGCATAACAGTGGTTTTTTTTTTCATTATCAAACAAAATAAAATGGAAATAAAGTGTTTAAAAAACAACAAACACAATAAACAGCAACACTGAACAATATATTTTTCGATCAATTGGATTTGTTCCTTTGGCTAAAATTGACACCTTTTATTCTCACCCGAGCCCTGCAAACTATTTTATTTTATTTTCCTCATTACAAAATACAACCCATTTATCTTCAAATGGAGTTAAATGAGAGGTAAGAATCAAAATGTTCTTTTTTAAAAAATGCAAAAGCAGGACATTTTAACAGCATCCAAACCTTTCCTCTGGGGAATTTTCAAAGCTTTGTTTTTCCCCCCTTTTTTTTAATTACACAGAAAAATGCTTTGCCTTCAACAACAAACAGCATTTCAGGACCAGCTGAAAAACAATGTAAATGAGAACACTTTAACGGAAAATGATTACAACTCCCAGCTTTTTGTTTATAACCCTTACACTATAACCTCATGTTCCAGGGAATTTCCGACTTTAGTTTGTTTTTTTTTCCTACACTGTGTACATTTTAACTGTGTTGTTACACCTTGATATTCACTATAGGGTTTTTTTTTCCTATATGGGAGCAGCAACAGCCATGGGATTAGTGGCTTCCTGGGGCAGAGTGACAGAGCACTGAGTTAATGGACATCACCTTTCTTTGGCAGAGCTGATGGCCTCATCATCATCATCACCACTCTTTCTCCACCCTGCCAACAAAACCTTTGTCCCAGCTCAGAAACCTCCGCATTTCTCCCCATTTCTTGTGTGTGTCTGTGTGTTCCAGATGAGTTCAAATCCTTCATGAAAAGGCTACCTAGCAACCACTTCCTGACCATTGGGAGCATCCACCAGCACTGGGGGAACGACTGGGACCTGCAGAACCGCTACAAGCTGCTGCAGAGCTCGCTGGAAGCCCAGCGCCAGAAGATCCAGCGCACCGCCCGCAAACTCTTTGGCCTCAGTGTCCGGTGTCGGCACAACCCAAACCACCAGCTGCCTAGGGAAAGGTACCTCCATCCTTCCTCAGGCATGGGGGAGCTGGGCTCAGGGGCTGGTGGAGCTGGGATTGGGTTTGGGATTAATCCCAGTACGCTGTGTTTGGATATAGGGGTGTTGGCATGGATGTTTGGGGGAAACGGTAAAATCTGGAAATTCCTGGAGGTGTAGGTAACTTTTGTCACATCCCTGATTACATTCATATCCCTTCTGTGTGGTTTTACCTACCCAGGGGAAGGGCATCACTTATTCTTCAAGTTCTGCAAGAATATCTTCTGTCCGTTCTGCTTTTTTTTGTGGTTTTCCCTCAAGATCCACAGCTGAGCTTTCAGCCTCCGCTTGCTGTTCAAAGAGACATGTGGAGCACAAGGTGCTTCAGTCTTTGGCCTCAGTGTCCGGTGTTGGCACAATCCAAACCACCAGCTGCCTAGGGAAAGGTACCTCCATCCTTCCTCAGGCATGGAGGAGCTGGGCTTGGGTTTGGGATTAATCCCAGCACACTGTGTTTGGTTATGGGGAGTGTTGGCGTGGATGTTTGGAGGAAATGGTAAAATCTGGAAATTCCTGGAGGTGTAGGTAACTTTTGTCACATCCCTGATTACATTCATATCCCTTCTGTGTGGTTTTACCTACCCAGGGGAAGGGCATCACTTATTCTTTAAGTTCTGCAAGAATATCTTGAGTCAGTTCTGCTTTTTTTGTGGTTTTCCCTCAAGATCCACAGCTGAGCTTTCAGCCTCCGCTTGCTGTTCAAAGAGACATGTGGAGCACAAGGTGCTTCAGCCCATTCTTGGATTGTGCTCCTCAATATCTCCAGAGTAAAAAGGAGAAGCTTTAGTTTCACTTGGAGTACATCACATTTTTGCTGTGAGATGCAGCGTGAACCTGTAAAACCTCACTGAGCAGAAAGAAGCCTGGCAGGGTTTTTATAGGTGGAGAAAGCAGATTTTCCATTTATTATAGGTGGACAGAACATTTTCCACTGCTACAGCAATTATTGATATCTAATAATCCCCTCCTGCTGGCTCTTTTCAGCCCTAACCTGTAGCTGAGTTTCCTTAAAGTCATTTTTGGACACTTGTATTTTGGATTTTCATAAACATCTCTTGCTGTGTCTTTCTACATTGTCTGGACCGAAGCAATATGGAAAATCTTGGGGAAAAAAAAAATGAGTCTGAGTGCCTTTTCTTCCATGCTTCTCTTGGAAGGGTCAGGCCAAGTTAATATTTGAACAGAAACTGTTTGTCCATTTCCTTCATTACCTAAATATTCTGTTTCAAGACATACTTGACAGATTGACCACTGTCTACAGCTCTCATCCAGCTCCCTGGCTCCTGAACACGCTGACTTTTCATTTCATCACTGTTCAGCTCAGAAAACTCTTCCAGGGCTTAACACCTCTTTAATTACCAAGAAATCTCATGTTTCTAGACAAAAATTTGATGGACTTACTAGGGATGAGGAGAAATATCTATTAAATGTAAGAGATTATGGAATAAAGTCTTTGGAGAGCTTCCTAAACCTGGCCCATCCCTGCCATGTGGCTGAGCTGTTCTGACCAGGCTGAGTGCTGGAGGAGCCACAGGCATGTCCAAGGTGGAATTTTGAGTTGTTTTTGAATTTTTAACAACAACAACAACAACAACAACAAAGTGAAGCAGCAGCGAGGAAATCTCCATCCAACCATGTTACTCCAAAAGATTCAGACAAATATGTCTTCGGCATTTATCATCTATTTTAAAAACCCAGCCAAGCAGAAAGGGAGCCTCCAAGTACTACAATGAAATGTGGGGGAAGGAGGGTGGAATGGATGATGGCAGATGGGTTTTTAACTGACTGATGTGCTTGATTTGTTTAAGTCAACATCAGCAGGCATATTATAATTTCTTTTCTTGTTTGTCATTCTGCATCTGCAGCTAGGCAGGGGAGCAGTGTGGTAGGAGCTGTGTAGTGGAAGAGGTGCAGCCCATCTTTCTCCTCACAGAGCTGGGAAATACTCTCATTTTCTAATTGTTGCTGTACAGAATGACAGAGGCTTATCAAGCATGCCAGTGGCTTTGAAAGGATGGCTTGGTTCTATTAAGAGCAAGCCTCTCTCTCTCTAATACACATAATTGTAAGCCTGCATTATACATTCAAAGGCAATGTTAAAAAAAAAAATAGATTGCAGCTGATTGTCCTCAGGGAAAGGAATAGGCGGTGCTTCCAAAAGGAAAATAAGAAAAGAAGAGTAGAGATTCTGGCAATTAGGCTGATTCTCCATGACCCTTTGCAATGGCTAAGGAGACAGAAATATCTATATATCTATATATCTATATATTTATATATCTATATATCTGCATATCTGTATATCTTTATATCTATATTTTATCTATATAAATATAGAAAAATATATAGATATATCAATATATAATATAGATAAATATATATAAATATATAAATATAAAAATATATCAATATATAAATATATCAAGATAGATATATAGATACCGATATATTTGGTCTCTACTTCTTTTGTCAAAACCCAGGAAAGTTTACAGGTTTAAAACAGAGGCAAGTCTGTTGGTTTAAAAAGGAGACCACTCCTCAGTTAATAAAAGTTTGATGTCGAATGATCACCTGTAGTTTTATTTTAAAGCACTGGATGTAAAATAGAAATAACATCCAGTGGAGAGAAGGGTTATGCATGTTCTGGCTTGCAGCCAAAATACATCTCACAGCTGCTGAGGAAAAAAATAGCATTTTTTACTTCACTCTTCTGTACAGAAAACCCAAAAGTACCCCCAGAGCAGCTAGTGCTGGTTGGAAAGTGAAAGGTGAGTTTACGAAGGAAATTATTTTAGTCCTTGCCTTTTTTCCTGCAAATAAAAACCAAAATCTGTCTGGCTCCCTGTTCCCAACATTGCCAGGGAGCCACATGTCCAGTGAGCAATATTCAGAGAACACTGCAAAGTAATTCTCACCCAGAGCTTGGCCTGCAGGTCGTATTTATTGTCACTTTAGAATCATGGAATCATTGAGGTTGGAAAAGGCCTCCAAGATCAGTGAGTCCAGCCTGGGCTTGATCCCCATTTTGTCACCCCAGCCAGAGCAGTGAGTGCCACATCCAGGTGCTCCTTGGACACCTCCAGGGGTGGGGATTCCCAGCACCTCCCTGGGAATATTTTAAATGAAGAACAGTGGCTACTCTGGTACTGGTTTCCAGCTCTTGAACAGTGGATTTTTCCAGCATCCCCTTGCTCTGACACCTCTTAGGTACAATGCCATGAGCCTGAGCCATCAGAGGGGTGTGTTTTAAAAAGTTACCTCCTCTCAGCTGAAGGGCTTTGGCTGGTCCTGTGTATATTCTTAACCTGTCCCAGTTGCAAGAAAAAATGGTGTAATTTATACCACTTTGCTTCTCTCTCGCTCTCTCACACTTCCCATTGTCGTGTTTGTAGCTGATGCCCAGCTCTGCCCTGAATTCTGCATTTTTATTTAATTACATCCTTTATTGCTGCCATCAGCAGATGGTGGGTAGTCTCCTGTTTCATTTTCTTCTTGGTTTTTTTAGTCCTACTTCTATCTTTGCTGAAAGCTAAGACATACACACACATTAACAAACAACCTCCCATCCATCCTCCACAAAGTTCATCTGGAGAACAGGAAATTTACTGGTATCCATTGTAAGATATCAGCTGAGGCTTCTTTCCCATTTTGTTCTGCTGGCTGTTAGTATAAAGAAGGACATAACTATCCAGTGATTTTTTTCCAAAGACAGAACACACCCAAAATGGACAGAATGTGATCACCTGACCTAATTTATTCCATTCCTATGGCTTGGCAGTCCTTGGTTCAACAACTCAGGGGCATTATCAACACCTAAAACCTGTGTAAAGCATCAGTCCAGCACTGCACAAATCCAGGTGCATTTGACTGGCTTTCCAAACAGGAAGCACAAAAATTCAGATGGGTGAAAATATATTTGTATTGCCGAAAAGTGAGCAAAAATTCACCTGCGAGCAGAAGACAGCCTCAGCCCCCTGGGATGGTTTGGAAATGCTTGTTGCTGTCACTTTGTGGCTGTGTTTTACAGCCACACTGTGCTGTGCTGTCCCACCCCTCTGAGGCAGAGCTGTCCCAGGGATTAACAGGAGCCCTGTGCACTTTTTGGGGACCAGGGCTGTGACTGTCTGCCTCTACAGCAGATATTTATGGAGGTCACTGCCTTGCTCCCAAGCTCCCCAGCCAGCCTTGTCCTTTCCAGCAGCAGAAGAGCCCCTCTTGGCTGGGAATAGGGGAAGGAGACCCTGGCAGCCCACAGAAAGAATATGAAAATTGTCAGTTCCCACATCCAGCGCTTCAGAATTTTTCTTCTAATGCCCTTCCTTTTTTCCTTGCCCTTCTTCTTACTCCTTTTCTTCCTGCTTTTCATTCCTGCCTGCTCTCTTTCAGTTGTTGCTGTTGCAGTTTTTCCCTTTCTCCACCCTGCCCACTGTTTCTCTCTCATTTTTCCTTTTACCTGCACATTTTCCTCTCTTTCTTTCCCAACCTTTCTGCTTCTGCTCCTTGATTATTTCTTTCCTTCCAGTGCTTTCCTCTGTTTTACACTCTCATCCCTCCACTGACTCCCTCCCCCTAATCATCTTGCTGTTCTTTGCCGCTGTATCATTTAATGCCTTCTTTGATACAGCCCACAGCTTAATGATTATTTGGAGGTCAGGCGATGCAGGTGCCATGAATTTCACTAATCCAGCTCTGAGAGCCTCTGTCCATAATCACTCCTCCTGTTCTACAGGGGCTGAATCCTAATTTGTCATTAGCCAGTCCTCTCACTGCAGCACTACCGAGAACTTTTTGCCCAGAGGAGACAATGAAGTATTCATTAGCCAGGGGGGAGGTGGAGGGGAGGGAGCAGCGGCTGCACACAGGGCTCTGCTCAGGGCTGCTGAGAAAGGAGTCCCTGTACCCAGCTTTCCTGGGGCACTGGGAAAGGGGAAAAGGGAGAAACAAGGCAACGTGGCAAGTGGGTTGTGCAAAAAAAGTGAACGTGGGCTGCAGTGTCATTTTCTAGGAGCTGTTCCAGGGCTGCAGGATGTAGGGTTAAAAGTGCTGATCCAGCAGCTGTGGGAGTGGTGGGGCTCAGGGGTGGGTGAGTCGGGCTGATTTTAAGGAAGAGACTTCAAGAAGTGATTAATTAGCAGAAGACTTTGGGGGTTTTTTTAAGGAGGAATAGTTTTAGCAGCTTTGTCTCTATGCACAACCTGGCTTCCACCCTCTTTTCTACTGTTCTGAGCTCATAAGCAGAGGTTGCTGCTTGCTTTGTCTTGTCCTGTTATGGGTCTGTTTTTTAGAGGGTGGGGCCAGTTGCCGATGACCTGAAGAGCAGTTTTCTCCTGCTAGCCTGGCAGTTCTGCTGCCCTTGTGATGTCCTGATAGCCCCACAGATTCTGGCATGGCTTTATCAGCTCCATTCCCATGTCACTGTGGCGCTGCTGGGATCCTTGGCAGGACACAGTGCCTGTCTTGGCTCCTGGTGCAGAGTGAAGATAGAGAGCTCAGGTGAGCATTTCTAACTGGTAGCAATTTCTTAGAAGGATTTTTCTCATCACCAGAGGAGTAAACAGCAGATGAAAGATTCAGTCTAGAAATAGACTGGGATAGCTCCCAGATGCCACGGCAGGGTATCGATGTTCCGAGAGCTCTGCCTCAGACATATCCCTTGAAAACACTGTAGCTCCAGCAAGATGCCAACACTGATTCCCTGTGAGGCCTTACAGTGCTAATTCTTCCTTCTCCTCACCTGCAGGACGATACAGGAATGGCTTACCCGAGTCCAGTCCCTGCTCTACTGCAATGAGAACGGGTTCTGGGGGACGTTTCTGGAAAGCCAGCGGAGCTGCGTTTGCCACGGTGGCACCAGTCTGTGCCAGCGCCCCATCCCCTGCATCATCGGGGGCAACAACAGCTGTGCCATGTGCAGCCTTGCCAACATCTCCCTCTGCGGCTCGTGCAACAAGGGCTACAAGCTTTACCGAGGCCGCTGCGAGCCCCAGAACGTGGACTCAGAGCGGAGCGAGCAGTTCATCAGCTTTGAGACGGACTTGGACTTCCAGGACCTGGAGCTGAAGTACCTGCTGCAGAAGATGGACTCCCGCCTGTACGTGCACACCACTTTCATCAGCAATGAGATCCGCCTGGACACCTTCTTCGACCCGCGGTGGCGCAAGCGCATGTCCCTCACCTTGAAGAGCAACAAGAACCGGATGGACTTCATCCACATGGTGATCGGGATCTCCATGCGCATCTGCCAGATGCGCAACAGCAGCCTGGACCCCATGTTCTTTGTCTACGTCAACCCGTTCAGCGGGAGCCACTCGGAGGGCTGGAACATGCCCTTCGGGGAGTACGGCTACCCGCGCTGGGAGAAAATCCGCCTCCAAAACAGCCAGTGCTACAACTGGACCCTGCTGCTGGGCAACCGGTGGAAAACCTTTTTTGAGACCGTCCACATCTACCTACGCAGCCGGACTCGGCTGCCCTCCCTCCTGCGCAACGAGACTGGCCAAGGGCCCGTGGACCTTTCCGACCCCACCAAGCGCCAATTCTACATCAAGATCTCAGACGTGCAGGTCTACGGCTACAGCCTGCGCTTCAACGCAGACCTCCTGCGCAGCGCGGTGCAGCAGGTCAACCAGTCCTACACGCAGGGCGGGCAGTTCTACTCCTCCTCCTCCGTCATGCTCTTGCTGCTGGATATTCGGGACCGAATCAACCGCCTGGCGCCTCCGGTGGCCCCGGGGAAGCCGCAGCTGGATCTGTTCTCGTGTATGCTCAAGCACCGCCTGAAGCTCACCAACAGCGAGATCATCCGCGTGAACCACGCCCTGGACCTGTACAACACCGAGATCCTCAAACAGTCCGACCAGATGACAGCCAAACTCTGCTAACCCCCGGACTTAGCAATGGACACTTTGGTGATTGATCCTTTTGCTGTATAAAAAAAAAAAAAAAGAAAAGAAAAATAAAACAAACAAACAAACAAAAAAAACACAAAAAAAGGAAAAAAAACCAGAAAAAAGAGAAAGAGGAAAAAGAAGTAAAAAGGAAGAAGTAAAAGTGGGGGGAAAGAAAAGGGGGAAAATAAGATTTGTAAAATGTAATTAATATACAAAAGAGGAAAAAAAAAAGAGGAAATTCTTCATTTGTTGAAAACTAAACCCGTTCTAGCCACTGTATAAGACTGTCAGGCATGTTTGTTATTTCTATAATCCGTCATAAAAGGGTAACACCGTACTCTCTCTTGACCTTGGGGGTGTTGCTTGCGAGTCCTCAGGGGCAGCAGAGGAAATAAAGGGAGGAGCAGAGAGAGGGGCAAACTTCTGTACTGAACTGTCAAGTTTTCTGCTATGCAGGTGCCAAGACAAAGAGACATACAGAAAAAAAAAAATCAAAGCAAACAAACAAACAAACAAGAGTTATATGTAAATGTAAAAGAGCTACCATTATTCCTATAGTGGGAGTAAATGGTTAAAGATAAAAGATATTTCTTCTGTTGAGATTTATGCCAGCTTTATGTTGAGTTATTCCTGCAGCCTGTGCTGAGCTTTGCTGGAGGACAGGAGGGGATGGCAGCCCTTGGGGACTAAAACTGATGAGTTTTCTCACCTCCCTGGTGAGACAGGTGGAGGGTGGGTTCAGGGCTCAGGTGTCCTCCCTTTGGGATTTCCATCTTGGAAGACATCTCACCAGAGGTAGAGGCTCAGCAGATGCTGGAAAATGGGATGTGTTGGGTTGTTTAGCTTGACCTGTAGTTTGTGCCCTGCCCTGGGCTGGTGCTGCCTTCAGAGGTGCCAGAGGAGGAGCAGCACCTGTAAATCTTCACTCACTCATTTTTCAGGCCCTTCTACACAGTCCCTAAAGCAGAGAAAGCCAAAATCATAAAGGCAAAGCTGGGTTTGTCTTTCTGCCTCAGGTGCTGGGTTTTCCAGTAGCCCTCATCACCACAAAAACTAAAGCACAATGCAAGGGAATACATTTCCAAGGAAACCTGGAGACACTGGAGGGTACATAGGTAATTTCTGTTCACTGGGAAAGGAAAAAATCCTTTTTACTTTCTTATGTTTCTGTGGCTGTGAATAATTTCCTTGTCTCACTTACACTTTGTCCACAAAAAAAAAAAAAAAATACAGCAAATATATGAGAACATTTTATTAAAATATATGCAAAATTAGTAAAAGGGAGGGGTGGGAGGGAAGAGCACAACAACCAAACCTACCCTGAGTTTGCAAGGATAAAGCCAAATTAAAAAGAATTGAGTTATCAAAAAAAATACTAAAATAACCAAAAGGTGGGTAAAATTTTTTTTTAATGTGTTTGAATGTGTGGGGACATGTGTTTGGATTTAAACAAAAAGTAGGATGTTGAATGGAGTGTGTGAATGAAGGATCATCTGAGCTGGGTGATGAAGTCTGAACACTGTGGGAGGTGAGTAGTGAGGTGTTTCTCTTAATTTCACTGTTTTTTTTAGTTGAAGTTGATTGAGAAGTGCTAGTGAGAGACTGGAATTCCTGCCCTCCAGAAAGGGAGAAATAAATCTCTGATCCTGATGGCTTCCAGAGGTGAAGGAGCATCCTGGGGAAAACAGGTCTGAGCAAGGGGCACAGGCCTGATCCAAAGACCCAGATTCAGGTCTGGCTCAAGATTTAACATGTTTATTCAACTGAGTTCAAAATAGCCTTGTAGGAATTTTGACTTTATTTGAAGACTTTGGCTGAGATGCTGAGAGTAAGTCACTTCATGCATTGTGGTGTTGGCCATGTGACACCAGGGGCTTGGGCAATTAAGGCTGGTATCAGATTTAATTTATATGATTTGGGTTGTTCTCATCCAAATTTCCTGAGAAGGAACTGGATACCTTAAGGAAAATATACATTCACTGAACTCTCCTGCTGAGCTACCAATTGAGGGCATGAGAAAAGCAATTTGGATAATCAGTAAAACCCCAAAAAGGGGGATTAGTCACCAAAGTCTGACATCAGAAGAAGAGCTGGGTGAGTTAAACAGCAAGGATGTTTTTAGGGACATTTCCTTTAGTGGGAGTTTTTTTCCCTACCTTGTATCTCTCTCTCACCTGGTCAGTCCACACAAGAGGCCTTGGGCTGCCCATTTTTCCCAGTGTTTGTTTCTCATTTGCTTGGTCTTTGCTTTGTGTAGCAGAAAATCATATTAGACCTCCCCATTCCAAGAATGTTCTTTATAGATGTGACATTTCTGCCTCAGCTTTCTGATAAGAGAACATTTGGCAGCAATCGTATGCATGGAGGTGAGTTTTAAGCAAATAGTAGAGAGTATTCATGGGAAATGAATGTCAAATTTGTAATTATCAGTAGAAATAATGTTCCTGACAGTTACATCCATCTAAGCAGGGAATAGAAATGTACTGTTTAAATTACATGTATGACCCAAAGAGCTGACACTTGAAAGAACTATGGTTATAGCTCTAAAAATACTGACTGCTGCCTGAGCTGCAGCCTGCATGCAATGATGGGATTTGCTCATGGCTGGGAATAGTGGCTGTGCCAACACAGAGTGAAATTAATTCGATAAATTCTTTCCTTTGAGATAAGAATCCAGGTCTAGTGAGTGGAAGCCAAAGAAGCTGCAATTAAATCTCAGATCTCGTGGGTAACTAGCAGCACATTACCTAAATCTCGCCTGGTAGGGATCAAATCAATTGCCCTCATGTATCTTTAATGATGCCTTGGGATGAGCAGCCCCCAGCATTTACTGCCTTCAGCAATGGGGGCAGCTCCATAAACCTTAACAAAGGGTTTGGGTGCCAACACAACAGTAAATCCTGGCTGGAGTTAACACCAAGTGGATGCTGAGAGAGGCACGTGAGGGAACATTCCCATGGTGGCTGGGAAGCAGTGCAGGGAGAGGGAAGGAGTTTTGGCACAGCCATGCTGTCAGCATATGGAACTCACCTTCGGAGTACCTGGTGGTGCACCTGGAAATGGTGGCACATCAACACCACAAAGAGGGGCCGCGTTCCAACAAGGCTACATCAAATTTTGTGAAGGAACGCAGCGAAAATGTCAAGAAGAAACTCACATGCCCTTCAAGGTAGGGAAGATGAAGTTATTGGGCTCAACCACCATTTTGGGTTCACTGAGAAAATGGAAAATAACCCAAACGAGCCAATCAAATGTGGATGATTGCTTTTGATGCTAGGAAATAAATTAAACAGGTCACATGCTCTGCTTCCACTGCTCAGTCCCAAAAGCCCTTCCCCAGGCAAGGGGCAGTCTGTGACGGCCAGATCCAGAAACATCCCCCAGGTTTGGTTTGGGGAATTTGTTCTGCAGGCAATAGGAGATGTGGAGGCATCTGACATCTGCCTCAGCAAGAGAAAGCAGTTCAGACCCCCAGAGAGGCCACAGCAGGGCTCCAGTGGGGTTAATGGGCTCCTAAGAAAATGATGGTCATAAAAATGTATTTGACAGGACAATGACTGGAATGGAGGGCAATTAACAGAGCAGAATTAGGTGGGACCCAGAGAACCCCTTCACCATAAAGCTCAATCCACTAACCTGCATGCTCAGGGGGCACTGTTGTAGAGTTTAATGATAAAAGGGATGTTCAGACTCTCAAGTTAGAGTAACCATCCTCTGACTGTATGAAAACAAAACCCAGCTTCCTTCCTTGGCACGAGAAGGAGCTAGGGAGCAATCCATCAAACTGTCCAGCTCAGCTAATAGAGAGATGCTCCACCAATTCAGGACAGAGACTTGTCCCTTGATGTCATTAAATTAGGCACTACATGAAAGCTGGAGCTTCCAAATAACACAGAGAAACAAAAGGAAAGCCAATTCCAGGTGTCCCAAAGCCAAAGCAAGGAAAAAGCAGCAGATAGGGCAGATTCCTACTTCTCTTAAATGCAGAAGACTTCTGGGACCATTTTCCTCCAGTCACGTGACAGAAATTCATTGGGAGCATCCTAAGAAATCTGCTCTTTTCAAATTATTCAAATTTAGACTCACCAGCCGGTGTGGCAGAAAGCAAGAGATGTCAGCAAGTCTTATTAACATGCTGATGCTATGGCTTCAGGAGTGTGCAGAATGTCCATTTGGATCAGGGCTAAGAGCACAGCATGAAGTTGCCATGGAAACGTGGGGAGGCCATTAATTAGCTATCACATGGAATCATCAGGAAGAATCTGGACCTCAGCAGCTTTGGCCTCCTCAGGGGCAAAGGGCACAACCCCAGAGACCCCCCCCAGTGACCCCTGCACAGCTCCAGGAACAGCCTGGAGCAGAAACGGCCTCTTGAAGGGATGAGAAGTAGGTGGATGAGAAAGAGGAGGGGGCAACAAGCAGAGATAAAGCATGGAGATAATTCCCCCTTTTTCTTGCCCCTTCCCTTCCCTTCCCTTCCCTTCCCTTCCCTTCCCTTCCCTTCCCTTCCCTTCCCTTCCCTTCCCGCCTGGCTGCTCTTCCACAGAAGAACACAAGAGATCTGCTGCTTTTTGAGCTGACAAGGCTCATGCCAGTGACCTTGAAGACATCAAGAGCAGCCCCAAGGCCCTGGCAAATCCAATTAATGGAGTTTGCACCCTCTTGGGTGGGCTGCACCTGGGATGAGGGAACTCCGGTGCTCCCCAAAGCCATCCTGCTCCCTAAAGCCAGCTCAGGCCATGCTAAACTAGGAATCCATCCCTTTCCCCAAAGAGAAACATGGGCAAGTAAGAGAGGCTTCTTGGCCTCTTGCCCAGCCTCCCTTCAGAGCCAGAATCCTGTAAGCAAGCTGTGATGGACTTCAGCTGCCATGGATGGGATGTTCATTTTAGCTCTTTAGCCCACTTGCTAAAGCGCGGCTCAGGAGGACATTTGGCAGATGGTGCCTCCTGCACAGGGGTGTAGCAAGGTCCCCAGCCTGGCTGCTCAGCCCCAGTGCTGCAGGAGACACGCTGGGTGCCAGTCCCAGCTCTGTGCTCCTA